GATTGCGCCCGTGAATCTTTCGCATTTGCAACATATAAACCAAAATCAGAAAGGAAAGTTAAAAAGTTTGTTCATTCGTTATATAATAATGTTCAAAAATATGATAACTCAGTATGTGGTAAATATATTGACCCTTCAGAAGTTTTCAAGAAAGCAAATGAAGAAGTTGATGTCACTTTTGATATGATTCCGGTAAATGATTTGTTAGCATTTCAGGCGTTCGATGATTATCCTAAATCATTTGGTGATATCATTCTTAAATATTATGTTTTCAGGGATACTTTAGTATTTTGTCAGGTTGACCCGTTAAGAGTTGCTGATTTACAAAATTACGTTTATGAAAAGATAACTGATGAAAATTATGAAAAGATTATGAATCATGTTTATAAATATGATCGCAAATTCCAACAAATCGGACTTCCTACCAAATTAATTACAAGCTTAGCCGCTACATCTGCTGACGCAACAGTTGATGACGTTATTATTTCATGCACAAAGATGGAAGTTTTAGAGGATAAATGCATTACACCAGGATACGGTTTAATTGAAGAATCAGTTAAAGCAATACCACGTTTATTCAGTAAGGAAGATCCATTCATGATTCCAGCTCAACATATTGACGTTCGTTCACTAAATGGAGGTTGCATCACTCCTGAAGGTATTAGCTCAGATTTCTCATACGCTCTTCATAATGTTACAGATGTTGTGTTAACATTTCCGAAGAATGCAATGCAAAGAACGGTTTTAGAAAATCCAATGCTTCGAGGTCTTCAGGTCACTATAGATTCCAGAAACTTCCCCGATCAAGCGATGACCACAGTGGGCGACATATTCTTTACACGCATGCTTCAAGCTTCTGATTTAGATGGAGTGAATGAATGCACAGAAGAATACGAGGACTCATTAACTAGACCACTGAATGCAGATGATGGCACACCATTAGCTAGAACATGGAAAGACCAAACTTCATTCTTATGCACTATTCCAGTTCAACGTGATGGAGCGGGTATATTCTTTGATGGATTAGAAACTTTCAACTCACAAGTTACAGTACAAGTGAAAGCTTATCCAATCATTCAGGGTGAAATGACACTTACTGTTCAAAGGTGACAAATCCTCCTCAGGTTTGGTTTACTAGGACTACATATTGGACATGGACACCGGATGAAGGTTTGAAATATCATCCAACAGGTACACCACCACAGTATAGAAGTTCATATGATGAAATATTGATGAATAGAAATGTTTAAAATTATAAATTTATTTTTGATTAAATGGATTTAAATTCATCCACTCCTTATGAAGAATTAGCGGGAGTATATAATACATACGTAGATGATATGATTAATGAAGCATTGAGTGATAATAGAAATGCTCTATCTAAGGAAAAATTAATGAAAATTCCATATTCTGAATGTTACTTAAATTCAATCACTGCAGCAATTGGTAAACAAAATAAAGGTAAAACATTAACGATATTAAAACAAATTATCATTATTGCTAACACTTCCCCCTATTCACATGTGTTAATTTATATCAACCGTTCAGGTTCACCTTCTGATGATACATTTGAATCTTTAAAGCATTTAATCAAAATTCCAATTATTTATTTATCACAAGAAGAAGCAGAAGATTATTTAAAAAACTTTTTAATGTATAAAGAATTATATAATACAATCAAGAAGCAAGGATTAGAGGATAAAATTATTGATAAACAACGGGATGAATTATTTGAAACACTTTCTATTTCAAATTTTGATAGAGAATTTTTGCATTCACTCATTTTTCTAGATGATGCGGTGAAATCAAAACTAATAACAAATGAGAAATCATATTTTAATCAATTATTAACTCAATGTCGACACATTCAGTGTTCATTCTTTATGGCTGTTCAATATTTCAAAGCATTAAGCACAAACATTAAATCAAATCTATCAACACTTTTCATTTTCAGTGGGTTTAGTCGTCAACAGTTGAACGTTATGCTTTATCAAGTGAATTTACCAATGAGCATTAATGAACTTTACACACAATATCAGCAATTAGGTGAACATGGAAAAATAATAGTTGATTTAAATAAAGGAGGTGTTAAATTTGATTAACTTTTTATAATTAATTTTTATTTTTTATTTATAATTAAACATGACAGAAATAGCAAATTTTCTACAGGTTCCATTAAAACAAGGAACAAACAAAAAGGGTCCATATAATAGAACTATGAAAGTTCCTGATGGAATGAAAGAATTAGTTCATATTGTTGCCGGTCTTCAAAAAGATGTTAAACAAATGAGAAACGTTTTAACATTACCAGAAGCTCAAGCATATGCCAAACGTCAAGGTCCAAATTGGGAAGCACACGAAGCAGACATTACGGGTCCAAATGGAAAACCTGATGGTATAAATGAAGTTTTCGTTACTGATGGTCAAGGTAATATTAAAGTCATAAATGGTTATAAATTAACTATAACTGATTATCCTAAACGTAAAGCATATAATGAACGTTATCCTATGCAATTTGAAAATGGAAAAGCTGTTAAACAATACATTGGAGAAGGTAAAGATGGTCCAATTAATTCATACCGTTATAATCCATATTCTTATTTCAATGAAGAATTAAATGCTATTGAAGAGGGACCGGATGGATTACCACAATATTCTAACAGTTTGATGGTCAATATGCAAATATTAGACCTGAAATTTCAGCCAAGAAATTCTTTAAAGTTGCTTTATTCGATCCAGTTTTCGCAAATGTTAAAGATGAACTTAAACAGCAATTCCAACCAATTATAGTAGCAAGAATTGCATCAGGTGCTTTATCTCAAGCATTCAAAGATTTAATTAAGAAACCATTATATCAGCAACGTGGTTTAACTTATGATTTAGTTAAGGAATCAAATAAAAGAAAATTTGAGAAATCAGATGATTATAAGAATGCAATTAATGAATATATTAGGTCTATTAATTACGATGAAACAGCTAAAAATCAACTTCAAGAACAAATACAGGGAATAATAGATTCAAAACTTCCAGCAAAATAAAAGTTTAAATATATTTTTTTTTATTCGATTATAAATGAGAAGACGTTTCACTAGTCAAAAGAACACTAACGCAAAAGCAGAGATTACGGTTGGTTATAACGTAAATGATGATAAATCACGAATTATTCAAAATGTTAAAGTTAATGTTAGCCCTGAATTAACAAGGTCAGCAACTCAACCAAATTTATTAACTCGTGACTTACCGAAAAAGGAGGAGGAGCAAAATAAAGAAGATGGAGACCCAATCATTTTATCTGAACCCAGTAAAGAACCTGTTGAAATTCCCACTTATCCAACATACCCCCCACCTCTTTCATCAAACATCGAGAACCCATATAAAATAGACATTAATTCTGAATTAATGAAAATTTACCGTGATATAATAATTAATAATTATGATTCAATAATAAATTTAATTGATCAATCCGGTTTAATTATTTTACCTTATGAATCATTAATTCACATTATCGCCATTCTTTGTGATGTTCAAGATTCAGACGTTAAGATTCAATTTTTCATAGATGATGAGGTTTCATGCTGCGGAACAGTTGCAAAAATAAATCCTATAAAGGATATTAGCACAATTAAGATATCAAAGAACGGAACAACAACTGAACTTCATTTAACATATAATGATATTTATAATAAAATAGTTGATGAATATAAAATATCACTTGAAAAATTCTTTGTTAAGGCTATTTAATATTCAAGCATTAACATTATCGAATAATAATCCTTTGAATCATAATCAATAATAATTGACCTTTCACCAGTTTCTATCGTTTGTTTTATTTCTTTTTGTTCCCCACTATCCGGATCGGTCATTGTAATTGTTTTTGTTATAGTATCAGCTTTATCTTTAACTTCAATCTTTTTTCCATCGGGATATTTAAACCAAAATTCCAAAAATTCGATATTGTCAATCTGTTCATATTTTAATCTATCAATTACATTTTTAATACCATCTGAAAATCTTATGAAATGGTCATTATATGGGTTTGATTGAACTAAATTTGAATGAAGTGAAATATAACCTGTTGATGAATATGACATTGACTCATATTTTCTGAAAACACTAAAATTTATAACATGAATGAATTTCTTATTCGTTGAATTTATGAATTCTTGAGGTAATCTTATTCTAGTTTTATTTATCACTGGAAAATAACGCTTTACCATATTTTTAATCGTAATAAAAAATGTCAATTATCAATATTATTTCGAATAATAACTGTGAATTAAATTTAACAGTTAGCGGAATTTATAATGTTACTCTCGTTTCTGTGAGTGGTAAATTTAATCCCATTCTTTTAGACCCTTCAGATTATATATCATTTATTAAAGATGACCATGAGCGCATAGCGGCGAGGTCGTAGACCTTGAAAAACGTATGATATGTATATAAATAATGTGATAGCGAAATGGGATATTAACATGATTTTAAGTTATTTAAATGAATCATTTATCGTATGGTATGAAGAAAATTTTAAATCAAAACCTGATAAACTTTTTGAACTTGATGAAATAAATAACCTTATTAAATTTCCGCTGAAAATTAAATTTTGTACTCCTCATCTTCGTTCATTGTTGGGAATATTAAATTTTGAAAAAGATGTTGGGGATGTTTTGTATTCTGACACCGGTTCCAATTTCATTTTAATCAAATGTGATAAAGTTAATACCCCAATGAGATTTTCACATCAAACATTAGACCCTAACTCTTACCCATCAATACAAAACATTTTATCCATCAACTTAAACACATTTTCTTTATCATATCTGTTTCAATTATCCGGGAATTCATTTATTCTTCATTCAAAAGATTTATCAAATATTAAATTTAGAATAACTGACCTATTTGATTGTGATTTAGAATTCATGAATGAGATATTATGGCAATTTCAAATAGAAAAAATAGCTGATGAGATAACGGATTAAATATTTATTTTTAAATCATAATAAATGATTAAACAACAGCAACCACAGCAACTTAAGGCGCAAAACACCCAGGTCCTTCAGACCATTACATACGCCATATATGCATATAATTCAAAGACGGCAGAACAAACGCAAAGGTTGAAATATGGAGATTTGGAGATAGTATTGAAAAATGAACATTTCGAATTCGTTTGCAAAGGTGGTGCAGTGATATCAAATATAAAAGAAATTTTATTTATGAATTCTAAAATTAAAGGTATAACGGATGATATAACATCAATTCCACCAGAAGAACAAAGATATTACGCATTAAATGCATTTCCTAAAGTTTTGAAGATTGGAAGATTTAATTTAAATGAGGAATTCATAGAAGGTTTCCTAAATGACATAATGAAGAAGGCAAATTTGGTTTATGTTGATGAAAAAGATAATGAAATTAAAGAAAAGGTTGAATGGTATCATGAATGGACATTTGAGACTTTTAAAGTTAAAGCTGATACAGAATGGGTTTCGGGATGTTTAGACCTTAAAGCAGATAAAACTTATGTTGATGAAAATTATGCAAAGAAGTCGGAAGTAAATGATGTGATTACAAGCATGAAAAATGAAATACTTCAAACATTATATCCTGTTGGTTCTATTTATACATCAATGAATTCAACAAATCCAGCAGCAGTTTTAGGTTTTGGTATGTGGAAGCAGATTGTAGATAAATTCTTATACTGTGCTAGATATTCAAAGCAAACAGGAGGTTCAAAGAAAATTAAAGAAGCAAACCTTCCACCGCACACTCATACGGGAACTACAAACTTTTCTGGCGACCATAGACACTCATTAAGAGACCACCCATTATACAACTCAGAATATGAAGCTGGCTATGATGTTTTATCTCCAGATTATAACCATTCAGCAAAAAAGACTTTTCGACCAACTGAACCAGGAGGAAATCATGTCCATACTTTCACAACAAATCCAACAGGTTCGGGTAAAGATTATATGCCACCATTTGTGACTGTATTCGCATGGTACCGCGTTCAATGAATGAACTAAATATATTTTATGTCTGTAATTAATTAGGTAATGAAGTAATGGATGAACTGCAGAAATAAATTTTATCGTTAATGTTTACGTTAATGGTTTCAGGTTATTCAATAATTAATTATTTTTGAAGAACTGAAGGTGTCACTACGTCACCATGTGTCACTCGGTTAATTAACTTCTCTGAAAAAATGAGACAACATGACATTTTGACAACAGTCCTGGAAATAAATTTTATCGTTAATGTTTACGTTAATGGTTTCAGGTTATTCAATAATTAATTATTTTTGAAGAACTGAAGGTGTCACTACGTCACCATGTGTCACTCGGTTAATTAACTTCTCTGAAAAAATGAGACAACATGACATTTTGACAACAGTCCTGGAAATAAATTTTATCGTTAATGTTTACGTTAATGGTTTCAGGTTATTCAATAATTAATTATTTTTGAAGAACTGAAGGTGTCACTACGTCACCATGTGTCACTCGGTTAATTAACTTCTCTGAAAAAATGAGACAACATGACATTTTGACAACAGTCCTGGAAATTTGATGCAGTCCAAAAATAAAGTTAGTTTTAAAATTATTTTTATTTTTTTATTCCTATATAAATGACAGCAACAAACAACAACAGCAACTATATCCTTTCTGATGAAAAAGTTATTGATTCATTAGCTGAGGAATTAGTTGTGGCAGAAACTAAAACCCTCAACGAAAGAATTGGTGAAAACAAGATTGATTTACATAACTACCTCAAACATGATGGAGGAAGAGGAAGGAAAACTGGTACAGCTTTATTAGTAAATAAAATATCAAATTTAACGATTATAGATGTTGATATCAATAAATCGTACAATGATGAACTTAAAGAAACAGTTAGAAAAGACATTTTATCAAAACTTTCGGATAAAGATGTTATCGTTAAAACTGCTTCAGGAGGTCTTCACATTTATTGCAACACTAATTTCTTCTATGCAGTTTCGAACAGAATGATTAAATGTTATTCCTGCAATGATTATGATATTGATATCATGACTTCTATGGATGATTCAAAGCGTTCTTTAGTAGTTATGGCTGATTCAAGAGTTCGCAAGAATGCAACAGAACCAATCAATACATACTCATTCATTCGTGGAAGTTATGATTCAACATTAACTAGAACAGTGAATGATATATTAAATGATTTGAATATTAAGGTAAGAGTTGAACAGAAGAACGAAGAAATAAAGACTATCATGAATGAAAACAAAGATGTAAACATTGACGATAAACTTGCCCAGAGCATAGTTGATGGCATCAGTGATTTTGAAGTACATAATGACGGTGGAAACATGAATTTAGAAAAAGAAGTTACATTATTCACACTGTTTCAAGCTATTAATTCGTTACCTAATCATTTGATTAATGAAGCATACGATAACGTTTATAACTTCTGCAATTTAACTGAAAATGCAAAAAGTAATTTTGAAAAAGCACGTAGTAGATATGCACATTTAATGACTTCTCCATTTGTTTTAGTGAAGATTCTAAAACTATATCAAAAGGAATATTATGATGAATACGTTTTGCCTTTATTACGTAAGCCAAAAATAACATTTGATATAAAACTTGATGATTCATTCTTGATAACAGATATTAGACGCAAGGCTGAAAATCATCAGTATAAAAACAGTTCTGAAGTAATTGAGGATTTATCACGTGTAATCCGTTTTGTAGATTGTGGAAACAAATACTTCATTCAGAAAGATTACAACATACACGACAAAATGAATCAAATATCATTCGTTCTTCAATCAAACATGAAAGAGTCACTCAAAATGATTAAATTATTTAAAGAAGAAGGTAAAACCATAACAGCATGGGCTGTACTATTAAATCAATTGTCTTCATTAACCGTTAGGGGTGTTTGCTTTAAATCTGATTCTCCAGATGTTTTCTCAACGTTTCAGGGTTATAAATACAACGTTCTCGAAAAACCAGATTACTCAAAAATTAAGATGTTTATGAATTTCATTAAAGAAGCCATTTGTGATAATAACGATGAAGTGTATAAATATCTACTCGGCTGGATTGCATCAATGATTCAACATCCTGGAATCAAGAATGAAACAGCAATTATTTTGAAAGGACTTCAGGGAACAGGTAAAAACAGATTTACAGACATTATTTCTGAACTTCTCGCTGGTTATTCATGTAAAAACATTACCGAAATAAGTGAGCTAACGGGTAATTTCAATTCAGTAGTTGAGAATAAAATGTTTCTTGTACTTAATGAACTCAAGAATGTAGGTGAAGACAGACTCGCAAACTTCAACGCTTTGAAATCAATTATTACGGATAATGAGATAAGAATTAACGAAAAGAATCAACCCAGAAGAACTGCTCAGAACGTTGCAAACTTCATTTTCGTAACTAATAACGTTTACCCTGTCAAAATTGAAGTTGGAGACAGAAGATACGTAGTTTTAAGAGTTAATGGTAAATTCAAGGGTCAATTTGATTACTTCAAGAATTTGATGAATTCATGCACAAAGGAATTTTATGATAATTTACTAACATATTTTATCAATTACGACCTTTCATCATTTAATGTACGAATCATACCGATGACTGAAGCCAAACAAGATTTAATTGAATTATCAACAAATCCTTTAGATGTATGGATAAATACACATTATGATGAATTGAGTGCAGGTATGACGTGTGAAAATGCTCTATTCTGCAAACCATCAGACATGAAAGACAAAAACTTTCAAATGAGCAGTAAAGATAAATGTGATAAGAAACAGAGAAGAATAGATGGTAAACAAACATGGTGTTATGTTTTGAAAGAAGAAATGAAAGGATTATATAAACAGGTTGAACCAAACGATAATGAAGATTCATTTACTGACGATGAAATACCTGTAAATGAAGCTTTATAAAATATGATTTGAATTTATTTTTGCATTAATCCTGCTGTGTTGTCAAAATGTCATGTTGTCTCATTTTTTCAGAGAAGTTAATTAACCGAGTGACACATGGTGACGTAGTGACACCTTCAGTTCTTCAAAAATAATTAATTATTGAATAACCTGAAACCATTAACGATAAAATAAGTGATAACAAAATTTTATTTTTATATAAATGGATACCCCACAAGCTCAAAATTTACCACGAATCATAACAAGGGAGGAAATGATAAAAATGATGCAAGAACGAATTAAAAACAACAAACCACGAAAACCGAGAAGATGTGGTTATGCAGTAATGATGGAAAGAAGAACCTAGAAGGGTTCGGGAAGAGGAATAAAAATTAAATTTGGATTGAGTTTAAAAATTCATCTTTATTAAATTCATCTCTTCCAATCAATTTATTTATTCTATTAAATTCTTTTATTTTTGCTTCACTCAGTTTAAGGATTGAACGGTAAGTTTCTAATTTTTCGATTATTTCTTTCCTCTCTTTATCGTTTTCAGCCCCACCGCATTGCGGCTTCTTTTTGTAATAGCATATTTTTGATTTAATTTTGTTTAGTTTCTTTTTATATTCATTGTCTGGACTCTTGGATGCTTTGTTGTCACTCATTTCTTACGAAATAAAAAAATTAAATATTATTTAAATATAATGGAGTAATAATAAAATAAATAAATTTCTATTAATTTATTGTCAACTTCAACTAATACATTACCGTTAATATATCTAACAAATTCAGCTATTGTGTCAAATCTTCGTCTTCTTTTTGTCATTGATTTATCAGTTTTTCCATAATCGAGATGAATCAAAACTTTATTCCCTTGTTTAAAATTCATGAGCCCCGAATTAATTTGTTCACGTTTAACATCATTTAACCTTTCCATTTGCTTTCTAATATAGTCCCATTCTTTTGAAATATCATTTTTCATTTCCACTGGTTTCATGTTTATAGTTCTATGCCATGTATTATTGTAATAATATACTAACTGTTGTATGATGGAGTCATGATTTCCATCCCAGTATATCTGACCGTTAACCCCTAACGCATCTCTAAGAGTTCTCATTACCGCATCAACTATTTTATTATGAAACGTATATGGAGAAGATGAGAAGTAAAAATTAATTTGTGGGAAATAATGAGCCATAGCTGCCTGAAATCCTTTATCACCATCACCCCTTATATTATCTACTCTTTCATGATCTAGTAAGTATTGTATAGCTCTTCTTGTTTCCTGTTCTGTTTTCCCTTTCACCGGAATGCAATATAAATATCTAGTGTTAATGTTAATGGCAAATAAATAAGTAACGTTTCCTTTTGAATATTCTAAATGATCGATTTCGTATGAATATGGATATGGAGCAAATGAAGGTCGACTAAATTTTTCCTTTAATGGTTGAATTTTCGGGTCAATTGGTTTATTTAATATCTTGAAATCCTTTTTAAAATCTTTTTGTTTCTTTAATGTTTGAAATGGATATAATAAAGTGAATGATGAAGGATTAACTGAAGGAGGAGGTGGTACTGTCGTTGGAGGTTTTGGTATTGCAAGTGGTTTAATTTTATCTGCTTTGATTTTGGATGATGAAGTTTTGGATTTCATTCCCCCTTCATTAATTCTGGATGTATTCTATTCATTTGTTTTAAATATACTGTATATAAAGGTTTGATATACTTTCCCGCTTCGAGTTTATGTTGAAGGATGAATTCCAAAAGTTGATCTTCATTTAAAAGTCGGGCTGAATATGGTTTAACTAATGAATCATAAATTAAGGCTTGTGCATCATTTATGGTCTGAAGGACCTGGGCGTTTTGCACCTTTAGCTGTTGAACATTTGCTACTTTCTCTTTTGGTGTTGTTTTCGGCTTTTTCTTCTTTTGTTTTTGTTCCTTTGGCTTTTGCGGCTCAGGATTATATAATTTATATAATTCATCAATATCTTCTTCTGTTAATACTTTATTTTTGAAATCTTTCAACTGTTTAAGTTGTGATTTAGTTTTTCCCTTTGTATATTCATTATTTTTAATTTTGTCTTTAATTTTAGAAATTATTCTATCATGATATTTCAAAATTTCATTTTTATAATATGGATAATAATATTCCATATCATCACCCGTTATATTTTTATTATGTTTTTGGAGATATGATTTTAATTCATAATAATTAAGAAAATTTTGATTAAATACTAAATCATCAATTAAATTTTCTAAATCTGCGTTATCCATTTATATAAAAATAAAATAAATGTTTTAAGGGTGCCCACCTCTTTGAATCGCATCATTAATGGTTCCTTTTGTCTCTTCTGTGGCATTTTATTAAATAAATGGCATACAACATCCATTTTCACAACATACAGCCTTAGTGTGTGCCCCTGTTAATGCAGTCTTACCAATTGTTAAGCGAGTCATTGACCTGTTTTTAAGTTGTAAATTAATATTCTGACCATCGAAAATAACTTTATCATTTATTATATCCAAATAATTTTTAGGTGTTAATTGTTTATTTTGTCGTAAACTAACACCTTTCATTTTTTGTGCAATCTTTTTAAAATCACTTCCATCAATTGAACCGTTGAATGATGTATAACACTTAGGGCATAAAGCAACCATGTTATCACCTTGTTTCTCAATTGCTAAACCCAATAACTTCTTCTCATGTGCTTTTTCTTCAGCTTTATTCTTTAATTTAGGTTTAAAGTTCTCATCAAAACAGAAGAAATCAAAAGGTGCGAATTTGAAAATGTTTTTATCATAAAATTGTTTATCGGTAACAATTGCTTGAAATGCTTGAGTGTTAGGAAGATTTGGGTCGCCAGCGATTGCCCAATAAGATGAATCAGTATCACCTTCAATGAAATGAAAACGATTAACATCCATGCATTTATACATAAAATCATAAATGAAAACTAAATACCAGTATTTTGCGTTATCTAAAGTGAAGAATGCCTCTTGTAAACATGTATCACATCTATAAAATCTATCTTTGAGCATCATTTGATATGTATCTTCACCTATTTCTCTTATATTTTTCAACTTATTTGACATACATGCAACGCGTGCCTTCTGTGCATTCATTATTTTAGTCTTTGCGTAATTTTGTGTATTCATTGCATCGTAACCATATGATCCATTAAGTGAAATTTTGCAAAATAAACCTTTTCCTTTATTTCCTTCTAATTCAGCCTTTTGTCTTTCGTTCATAAATTTGTTCGCAAATTCATTAAAACAAGTGTTTTTCGTAAATGTTAAAATTGATTGAATATCATCGATGATAAAATGAAATCTATCTATTAGATACCAAAGATAATAAGAAGAAAATGGTTGATATTGGTTGTGTGTTGATGCTAACTGAGTTAATTTTCTCTGTTTCTGGTCAACTGGTAGATTGTTTGATTTCATGTAATTATACATAAAACCGCCAATTGTTTTTTCATCTGTGATAATATCTAAGTTTCTTATTATCGGTAAAAAGTTAATGTAATCATTAATGTATTTTTCATCAATGTGACCCTTTACTTCAGCACGAATAAAGTATTTTTCTTCTTAATTATTCCCAGTGCTTTTGCTTTCTTTGTTGCTGTATCACAAATGATAACTCCATTCAATCTTCCCGGCATATACATTTTATGGTCAGTATATTGAATGAAATCATGAGGATTAGATGAAAATGATGAAGGATATAATGAATTAAAGTCAACTCCAACGAAATGAGTCATAATGTTGGTGGTGTCCTCATTTGATACAGTTTTAGTTTCTGGATTATATGAAAGTTTATTAATGTGTGTGATTCCTTTAAGATTAACACGATGTTGAACATTTGATAGACCACCAGTAATTCCATTACGGAGAATGTGATAAGCTTCAACTGAATCTAAAGTCATTGGTAAATTATTTTTTAATGCATAATTTCTTAAATTGATTCTTAAACGTTGAACATCTTCATCTTTATTTGATTTTACGACATTGCAATAACAACACATTAACTGACAATTTTCTTTAGTATGTGGTTTTTCATTATCGATTCTATCTAATGTTGGTTTATTTGCATATGTAAACGCTTTACCACACATTTTACATTTAGATGAAAGGATTAAATCGTGATAGTATTGAAAATCATCCATTGAAACATTATTTTTAGTATCCCTTTCTGCTTTTTCATCTTGTTTCTTATATGATTCAATTTTATATTTCCAATACTTTTTCGTTAATTCAAAACTTGATTCTATCTCTTCCTCAGGATATTTTTCATTAGGATTAAAGTCTTTATATGCTAAAGCGTAACGAATCATTGAAGCATTTGATGATAAAGAAAGATTATGAAGCATATCAATTTTATAAACAAATGTTTCTTCAATAATTTTATCAATTGGGTCAATCATAATTTCAACATCTTTATTGCAATAATGAATAAAATATTCTAATCTATTCTTAAAGTTTTTAGTATCATTGAGATATATTTGATAATCACTATCTGATATAGTTTCTTGGGTTAATGCTGAATAAAATGAATCTTGAGTGAATGGTTCCACTTTATATAATTCTTCTTCGTAATTTTCCCACGTGATAAATTGATAAGGGAAAAAGGATTTAACACGTGATTTATTGTTTCCGAAATCTTGAGTGAATTGGTCTAATGTCCCACCCGCTATATAATTTCTGATGTCAATAAATCTCAATTCATATGGAACGTTTGTTTTCTTTACAATGATTTGCTTAAATTGTGAAGATGAACCCAGCATTGATTTTATTTTCCATTTTGCAGTGTTTAAATCACGAAGAATTAAATTTAAATCAAACTTTCCCGAATTAAAACCTATGATATTCACTTTATTGAATTCCTCATCTAGAAGTTCTTTAAATGCTTCCTTCTGTTTTTCATTTAATGTATGGGACAAAGTCCCCGCCGTTTGGTCTGAAAGACCTTCAGGACTCAAAGAGTCCGTTTGCGACTTCAATAATTCATCGTATTGACTCATATTTGATTCAACAACTAATGAACAGGTTGAAAATAAAAACTCAATCCAGTCAGAAATAAAAGAATCACTCGAAGTTAAGCAAAAATTCCTCGTATATGTTTTATCATTTAATTTAACCTTTGATGATACCATGAATGGTTTTAAGTAAGCATTCAAAGTTGCACACTCAGAAAGTTGTAATTCTTCTTTAGTCTCTAATGTTTCAAAGTCAAAAGTAATATAATATCTTGTCGGTTTATAATATTTCTGCAAATTGTGAGCTAATAACCACTGATATCTCTTCTGTTTCGTAATATGTGGTGCATATGGTTGCTGGGTATTTTGCAATTGAACGTCTTGAATTAATCTTCCATTATTTTCTTTACATTTCTCACAATGCTTTAAAAATCTTCTTTGGTTTTTCCTTTCTGGATCATCACGGATTGAATAAACTTCTTCTTTACAATATGGACAAACTTTATAGCCGGTGAGTGCTTCAACGTCTGTTATTCTGTCAGCGTGAAGTTTTCCACATGGACTCTGTGTTAATAAAATATTTATTGTTTCAAATTCTGGATCTATCATTATTGAATCCACTAATGGAAAGTCTACCTTATTTATGTCCACATCTTCTGGTTGAGGATCACAATAATAGAAATCAATATTAACATTTAACATTCTCGCTAATCTCTCACTTTCTGATGAAATGTCAAACCCTTCATATGCATCTATTGCTTCATTTAAATAGCTTCTACGAGTTTTAGGATTAACACCATCAGGAATGTTATAGAAGCGTTTAAATAACCTTCTACCTTCTGCTCTAATTTGATTATCATTCATTTTAGCTGTTCCGTTTTTGTTCATTTATGTAAGAATAAAAAAATTAAAAAATAAAGTTTATTTTTTAAAGCCCATAAAATGAATTAAGAACACATAAATTTTTATCATCTGCGACGTGACGAATACATTTTAATTTACTCAAGAATGCGTACCCTGATACATTAAATCTAATTCCTGTCTTATTTAATTTCACAACTTTGAAAAGGAATGTATGAATAGCTATAAAATGATGAGATGATGTTTTATGGGTTGCTTCCATTTTTTCTGAAATAAATGAATAAATATAATGCTTATACGTTTTCATATCTTTTATATTCTTAATAACGAATGGTATAGACTTTCCACTTCATCTTCCTTCGGTGCTGTTCTTTCATATGAAACATTATTAGTATCTTCAACAATGAAACCGCAATCACATAAAATTTTATATGTTCCAATGGTTTCTTTTGATATTTTATCTAATAAATCAAAAACTTTATCAACACCTGTGCATTTATTTAAATAATAATTTGTGTAAATATCATGATCTTCTTTCTTAATCGTATTAGTTGCATATGTCACGTTTTTAAGAGCTTTTTTGAATTTTTCGGAATCTAAAGGTGGTGAAAGTAAGATACAAGGGTATTTTTCATTATCAATAAATTGTAACTTATGTTTACGAATAAATTTAGTACCTTCTTCTGAAAGTGTTTCATCTATTTCACCATCTAATAAATTTTGTGTTGATTCTGAGACATAATTTTTATATCTTTCTTCATGAGATTTCTGAACTTCTGATTCCGAAGCTGGGATATTCATTAAATCCTCTACTTCATTTTCATTATATTTTTCAACTTCTCTTAATTCCTTAATTTTTTCATCTATTTCATCTCTTATTTTTTCAGTTTTTCAATTTCATCGTATTCATCATCATCTTTAATCCGTTCTTCATAATATTCAGGGAAAACATCAGGTTCTTTTGGTTTTTCTTCTTCAGATGTAGGATATAAGAAATTTATAACATCATCTTTATTCATTTTTCCATCATAATCTAAATCATTTAATAACTCGGCAAATTTTTTACAATTTCTTAAATAATATTTACTAACTTCATAACACATCTCATCTAATATATCCTTTATTTCCTCGTTTGTGAATCCTAATGTTTTCACGTCGTTAGTTTTGACACTCATTTCATACAAAATAACAAAATAAAATATTAAACATAACTAAGTTTTAATTTTTCGTAAGACATGAATTTTTAAAGTTTATTTTTTAAAAATTTTTTTATTTTTTATTTCATTATGGTGGTGAATCTTTTATTCATGAAAATAATTATTTCTAATTTCTTTTACTCGTTTATGAGGTCTTTGATTATGACTCCATTGATTCCATTCAGGATTGAGTAGGTGCCAAAAGTGCTTACTCTTAAACAACCGTCGGATTTCCGGGTGAAATCGTGACACACTTTCGTCTTTCGTAGGCAGTGGTGGTTGTTACAAAAGGTAACTTCGAATGTAGCGTGAAATCTGCAAAAAAAAATTCTGAAATTTGAATGGAGAACACAAAAATTGAATAGTTTACGTCAATAAAAAAGAGAAAAATGAAGCCAATGTGTCTCGAACCTAGGACTTAGAGCAGCAATCCCACTGTTTATCCCATTACACTACATGCATCTCTCACCTCAGTGAGTGAGATCAACTATATGATAACTTTTTCCCCATTATATTCTTGTGGAAAAGTGACAAATAGCAACTTTGACCCTCTCTCATTCAGGATTTAAACAATGTTTAATTAATCGCGGAATATCTGACATCATCTATATATAGCTTCTTTTAAAATTAATGTTAAGTAGTATATGTTGACGGGTTGTGTGACTTTTTTTGTAAACGTAAGAATTCATACATAATTGAATGATTTTGTATCATTTTTTTTAACATATGAAGTAAAAAATGTATGATTCTTACGGTTTTTATTCTTACGTTTTTGAATAAATCAAGATTTAAAAAATTGACTTCTTACGTAAAATTAAAACTAAGTTAAATTTATTTTTATTTTATTTTTTTAATTCGTAAGAAAATGAGTGGATCAAGAGTCGTAACCGTCAATCAATTAATGGATGCTCTTTCACCAATTCTTGAAAATGTTAAACAAGTAGATGTTTATTTCGATGATTATGTAGAAAGTTTATATTATAAAGGTAAGTTTAATATTAAACCTATTGCTTTTGCATTTGATAATAAATTAATTGAAAATGCAAAAATTTGGGAATTAATTCCGAATATTGAATTTATAACAAATATTAATGATAAATGGTTTAAACGAATTCCAACCACAAAAGTTCTTTGTAAATTAATGATCAAAACTGAGGAAAAAGAATTTAACGGGTTTAAATATCATCCAAATAAAGTTTCAGAACTAGAAAATGAAAAACTTCAGAAAAAATTAAACGATAGACTTTCAAATGATCGTATTGAAAAAATAAATAAACTAGCAGAAGTTGCATTTAATAATGAAATATTTGATGAATATAACCTTGAACTCAGTGATGGGCTTTAAGGACCCGGGCTCAACGAGTCATGATTTATGAAATCAATAATTTGATTTATTCGCTCTTCAATAATTTCTATTCTTTTTGTTAAATCATCTATTTTCATTAATGAGGTGATTCTTGATTGAGGAATAGATTTCAAACTAACCACTCCTTTTATTTTTGAAATTTTGAATCCATCAACTTTAAACATTTTATTCAATTTACACGTTGTCAATTCTTCAAATAATTTTTTATTATTAGCATAATAGTCATTAAATTCTTCAACAGATGAAAAAATTTTTATTTCAGTAATTGGTTTAACAACGTTTATTTTTTGTTGAACATTTTCACTTTCATTTATTTCTTCCTCCTCTGTTTTATTTATTTTTAAAATTGGTTTCATTTATCATTAAATAAAAATTAGAATATAAGTGATGAAATATATTTTTTAATTAATATTAAATCAGAAATGGCTGCAGGATTCTTTAAAAAATTATGGGATGGAATTAAGAAAGCTGCAGGTTGGGTTTATAAAAAGGTTATTAAACCCGTTGCAAACTTTTTGGCACCAGTAGCGAAAACGGCAGGAACTATCATAGGTGGAGTATTAGGTACTAAAGCAGGTAATCCGGCGATGGGAGCACAAGCAGGTAACGCAATTGGTGGAATTGCTGAAGGAATACTTAATAAAATAGGAGGTAAATAGTGGAAAAATAAATAAATATTATTTTTATCTTAGTATCGGTTGAAGTCTTTGATAAACTTTTTCTCCTTTATTTAATATTTCTCTTATTGGGGCGGCTTTTGGTGTTATTGATTCAGCAACGTCACTAATTGCTTCTTTATTCTTAAATATCCAATTTGCTCCTTTCTTCATTGTTTCCCAAACTTTATGCGCTCCTCTTTTTACTTTATCCCACAGTTTCTTAAATATACCTGCAGCCATAGTTGATTATTTCATTAAAATTAAAAATTCATTTTCATCTTTTAATTTTGATTTTTTATTTATTAATAAATGACGACTAACTATTTGGTGCCAAACACTAAACCGATTAATGGAAATGTGTTTCAT